TCTATTGGTGGGGAGTGGCACCTGCTGGAAACCGGGTCCAGCATCCCATGAACATCATGAATAAAGCACCAACCGGGACCCTCTCCCCACTCTGAATAAGTAAAGAGCAGAGTTCAGATGACATGGGGCATGCGGGCTCGGAAATGGGTCCGGAAGAGCTCATCTCCTACTTTTGCCGGCCTCTGTTCCGACTGGGTCAGAGTATCTCCTCAAAGCACCTGCTACTCTTACTAAGTCTGCATCCCAACCCCTGTTCGTCTATGATTTAGGAAATATGTAACTGATGGTGAAAGGTATCGCTTTGCAGTGGTTGGTTTGGCTGGCCGTCTAAAAAGGGTGGGTAGGTGGTACAGGGCATCATGGAGGGATAGGATAGGAGGTGGGGCTGATCGTTTAGGAGGAAAGGGGAGGCGCTGAAGGGCTGGGGCTTTGATGTGGAGGGGGAAGGAGGGTGAGAGAAGGGCCTATTATGGTGCCTGTGAGAGGAGCATTGAGTGTGGATAGGTTGAGTATGCATCGTACAGTCTTCTACCAGCGTACCCGTACTGTCATCCTTGACCGGTGCAAAGAGCGTTCCACTGATCGAAATATCCACTGTGATTCAGTTGCCACCCGGATTTTCCATACCAATTTTCCCATTTCCTGTAGTTGTGCCATTTTCCTACGAGGGCCAAGCCAGGTCTCTTGGAACGCTTCGACTGCCTGTAGTCTGGCTGATTGGTCCTTAATTACTGTCAATTCTTCCTTCAGCATTTTGTTAGCCTTGACTATCTTTGTTATAAGGAAATCTACAAGCTCCACTTTGGCATGATGCAGGCCAAACATGGGTTCTTGACGGTCTGCTGAACAATGTATCCACCATACGACCATGAGGATGGGAAGCCGAGTGTGTTTAAATAAGTTTGACTGAAACAGAGACCAGGTAGGCGGATAGTCTCAGAGTTTGCCCAACAAAATGAGCCGGATTTCCCATTGAATGGTTAAGGTGGTGCCACAGAGCATCCCACCAGCACCAGACCTGCAGTGTCAGTGGACCAGCAAGCAGATACTGTTCCCAGTCTGCGCATCTAGAGGGTGCCCCGGGGCCACAGATGGAACATATAAGGAATAGGAGGCCTTTTTTCTCTAGTTTGAGTGGGCTGTTAACCAGTCTGGTATTGGGAGGCAATTGCAATACCAACTTTTCATAGAGGTTGAATTTCTGAATTCAACCTGGTTTTAATCTTTTGACTTTTGCTGGTGTTTTCCTATGGGAACGACAGTGGGGAAAGGGTCGTATCATTCTGCTTTGAGTCTGTGTTTGCCTTGTCTGCAGTGAGATCAATTTATTTGATTATGTGGTAATTTATGTCTGAATTTTGACCTTTTTGCCCCCAATTCTGTTTATCTGTTTCATCTGTTTCATCCTTGCTCATTGTGCCATCTTGCTTGACAGCCCCAGAATTTGCACCTTTGAAATCCTCGCTATCCCAATCTATCATTGATGATCTCCTCTTTTCTAGTGCATTTTCTGTTAAAACAAGGAATTTGGTCTCCCCCATCAGGCTTGAAATAATTGTTGTTGTTATTCCTCTTTCCGTATTAATTATGCTACCCAGAACAGTGGGTACAAAAGTCTGGTTCCAAGTAGCCGTGGATTCTTGAGTCAGGCTTTTGGTTACCGTAGTCAATACCCAGTCCACACGGTCACTGGAGGCTTGGATAGAGGACTGGTTGTCCTGATAATCCAGGGTGTGTCCCCTTGTTTCCCCAGTTACCCCAGTTGTGATGACTGTGGGTCAATTTGTTTCATACTAAATTCATAGTAGCAGTG